TCCTTCAGGTCCTGTATGTCTCCAATGTCAGAGTACAGCGATTTCACTCTGATTAAACCCAGCAGCACCACAGACTTTAAGGAGGTGATCAGTGTTCTGGATGCTTCTTTGCCCGACAGCACCTGGACCTTTGAGAGCCAGCAGGTGAGGCGAAAATTGAAGAAATAACCTGCACACACTTTTCATTATTGCTGTCATACATTTCTGAATTAATCTTTTAAAAATATATATAATTTTAAATGAAAATTTAATATCAAATTGGTTTCAAGTGACAGCAGTAATTTATTTTTCGTGTATTTTGACTCTACTATGATTAGGGGAGAATAAATTGATACTATTGAACTGTTTTGCCTGCGCCTGATATATTTTAAATGACACCGAAGTGCAACTTTGAAAACAAATCAATTTCTGTGGCTTAAAAAAAGCTATTTAAAAAAGCTATTTAAAATATTGTTTAGAATAAGATTGTCGGAATTGCATCTAAAAATCCTATTAACTTTTTTTTTTTTTTACCAAAGCATGAGCTCGAAGTGATTTTTTCATAATCAAAATGTATCTTTTTTTAAGCCTACCGACAATATATTTTATTGTTTTTTTTTTCTATAACACCAGAGATGTACAATTTGTGAACTGATATTAAGCTGAACTGACAATGCATTTTTATGTGGTCTTAATTCATCGCAGTATTCATTAGAACACCTTTTGCCCTTTGAAATTAATATTCTTATTTATATTTATTTTTTATTCATATTTAATTTTCGAGAGAAAATTATCACACAGACCGGACTTGAACCTTCATTTGTACAGCTTCGCTTCTGGCAGTGTGTACTGGTTTCATGAATAGGCTTAGCGCTCTGTGATTGGATATTTAAACTGGATGCTGTGAACCAATAGCATACAGAACTGTACAAAGAGATCTACTCTATCCCCCATTTACTCACATCACAGTAACCCTCACTGTGCTCGGAGGTGGAGAGGACATGCGCTTATCCAATGGCGTCCGGAATATATATTTTGTTACAAATAGCTTAAGGATTTTTCTATACAGTATCCATTCTGGTGATGGCTTTATATGCTGGGCTCTGTCGATGAATATTTGGATGGGAAATAATATATTCTAACGGACTAAGGATGACAAAGAGAATAGGATACCGAGACTGGAGATGGCAGGCGTTTTGGTGGCATCATTTCTTTCTCTTGTGGAGTACAATAGACGCACAGACTCGTTACAGCATACCAGAAGAACTAAAACAGGGCTCTGTGGTAGGAAATCTTGCCAAAGACCTGGGTTTGGCATTATCTGAAATTTATTATCGTAATCTGCGTGTAGCTTCTGAGACTGGTAAGCAGTATTTCAGCGTGGATGCGGGGAAGGGCGAGCTGGTGGTGAATGACAGAATAGACAGAGAGGTTTTATGTGGACAAAGCGCCCGCTGTGTGTTACCTTTACAAATTGTAACAGAGAATCCCTTGCAGCTGCATCGTATAGAAATAGAAGTAAGGGACATAAATGACAATTCTCCGGTTTTTATAACCGAGGAGAAATATTTAAAGATAGCAGAATCTACTGCCACAGGCATTCGCTTCCCTTTAGACATCGCGCAGGATCAGGACGTTGGAAGTAATTCCGTTAAATCGTACACATTAAGTAAAAACGAGTGTTTTAGTTTGAAACTGAAAGAGTTGTCTGGCGACCGACAGGTTCCGGAGCTGGTCCTAGAGAAACCGCTTGACAGAGAGAAGCAAAGTGTACATCAGCTATTACTGACAGCGTTAGATGGAGGTAATCCTGTAAAAACTGGAACGACAAAAATCGTAGTTACTGTACTTGACATCAACGACAATGTTCCTGTTTTTAAAAAAGCTTTGTATAATGTATCAGTACATGAAAATATTGTTTCTGGTTCTGTACTCGTTAAAGTTGAAGCAGCAGACGCAGACGAGGGCGTTAATGGAGCGATTCAATACGCATTTGCTGAACACACATCAGAATCACTGTTGTCTGTTTTTCAATTGAATCCAGACACAGGGGAAATTTCCTTGATAGGGCCTTTAGATTATGAAAGCAATACAGTGCATGAAATACGTATTACTGCAAAAGACAAAGGTGTTCCTGAGATGGAAGGTCACTGCCGCGTGCAAATAGTTGTCATAGACATGAATGATAATGCTCCAGAAATAGTGTTGACTTCAAAACCAAACCCAGTACGCGAGGATGCACCAAAAGGCACTGTTGTAGCATTAATCAGTGCACGAGACCTCGACTCTGGTAATAATGGAAAAGTTTCATTAGAATTAAAAAGTGGGCCTCCATTCACTTTGAAACCTTCATTTTCTGACAACTACGCACTCATTACAAGTGGTGCTTTAGACAGAGAACGTTTTTCAGAATATAATATTGAAATTACAGCCACTGATTCAGGCTCACCTCCCTTGACCAGTAAGAAAT